GACATTTTTCAGGAAATAAGACAAACTGCTACACTGTTATTAATAAAATATAAAAAAAACACAAGATATGAAGAAATGTACTTTTTTTTATTATTTTACCCTACTTATAAGTTAACAACAGACCTTATTAGTTTTTGAAAAAAAAAATAATTTCTGAGGGACAAAACGCTATTTGTTGGTCTTTAAATGACAAAACGTAGTTTGATTGTCTCTAAATGACTAAATTAAGAATATAAACTGAAAATGCATTTCTGCGTATTCAAAAACACTCAATTAAATAATTAAAAAATCATATGACATTTATGTCATCCTCTAGAAGGCAGCAACATTCTTCTCCTTCTTCACATTGATCGCAGGTCTGAGCTTCCTCGTCAATTACATTTTCACCATACTGATCTTTCAAAATTGGGTCTAACCAAGCTAGTTCTGGATCTGTCGCCCATTCCTTGCCCGATAAACTAACTAAAAATTTTGATAAGCTATTCTTCTTCTTTACAGCATGCTTCATTGGCAATTCCGGCAGTACTATATTACTAAGTTTCTTCTTTGGCTTGAGTAAACTTGAAAACTTTTTAGAAGGGTCATCATTCCTGTACAAAAATTCTATTTTATACAATATTTTATTTGCCCCAGCAGGTTGTTTGCCTCGAGTTATGATTATTCTTTTAGCTTCACTGATGCCTATAACTTTTTTGAGTGAAAGTGCTGCATGTTTTATGTCATACAAAGTCCAATCAGAGCCAAGCTCGCGGACTTGTCCTTTTTAGAATAGATTTCATAATATTTGTCTGGGGACTTAATAAAAGCGTGGGAACGTAAGTCTAGCTCAACTTGACCGAAAACTCGATCAGCTGGCATAAACGAGTGGCCACGAACGGGGAACGTCATCGTAATTGTTTCAATAGTTTTTGGGGCATTGTTCAAAAGCCACAACATGAGTGCATGTACCATGTGAGAGTTTTTATTCTGACCCCCACATCCATCTGAGAACAATCTTAGATGTTTAGTATTTGGGTCAAAATCCGTCTTTCTTAGAAAATCAGCCAGCGCGGAACTTATTTCTACCACACCTCTTCCCGCTTCATGCTCAAGCCACGTATAAAAAACAGGAGTTTTTATGGAAATATCTGTCACGCAAAATACATAAAAGGCCAGTTGCTGAGCATAGAATGCTTCCGTAATAAGTGCTTTTGGAAGAACCTGGACCTGCTGCAGATCAAAACAATATTCCACACTGTCAGGAGATTCCTCCTTCATTAATTTAAAAAAACTGCTTTGCTCGCGTCTTGTGAATGGATAAATCCATTTTTAATTTTAACCTTTGTTGTTCATCCTTGGTGGTGTTTATCTCAGTGTTTGTTCTTATGCAAAAGCCGCAAACATCAGTTGCTGGGCTTCCAAAGGCTAAAACAAATGAGCATGTTTGTAAAATGAAAAAAATGAAAAAAATAAATACTACCCACCTATATTAAACTTATTGCTGAAAATTCTGCTAAAGTACTTGTAGTTTGTTTGGAGTGAATCATCTTGAACTTGATGATTATACATCTTCCAGAGTTTTTTTTATGTTTAATTCAGATGACAAATAGATTCTTCTAGACTTGCCTCTACCATAGTGGCTTTCATGACCCCTCAAAGACGATACAAACTTCATGACACTTTCTAGTTTGAGTGCATTTTTCTTGGACTTCCTGTCCCCACCACGATTGTCTTTTATACCAATGCCTTGCATCTTTTTTCTTACTATTGTATGAATTCTTCTTGGGCCGCAATTAGAAATGGATGAAAATAATTTTTGGCAAACAAAGACTTTTTTCCTATTATGCCAAACCTAAAAAAGACATTACTAAGTATTCTGTAAGCGGGAATTGAATAGGTACTGAAGCTTAGTTTGTTGAAAACACTTACATAAAATTCTGTGTGAAATTCGTGTGATTTTCCATTCTTTCTCTTCCTTTGCCTTTTTATTTCCTTTACATTCATCATCTGAGCTAATTTGTTATCCTGCGCATTTTTGTTCTTTTTTTCGTCATTGTAGAAGTTCTGTCTAATGATTTTTATGTCGGCCAACAAAAGTTCCATACATTCAAATTTTTTTGATCTATGGACGCAGTTATTTTTAAAATTCAGTAAATCTGGGTCTAAATTTGAATATCTGAAACGAAAAAATTAAGCAACAAAAATACATAACCTACAATATCTCAATGTACCTTATTTCTCTCTTACGTTCTTTTGAGATAGTATTTATTTTTCTTTTTCTCGTTCCTCTATTTGTATCTCCCACTATATGCTCACCTTCAATCATTTTTTGTTAAATTGCTCTAATAAACACTACTTTTTACGCACTACTAATATCACAACAACACTGTTGATTGCTACACTGCTTAAAAGTAAATAATAAAGTGGTTACATGGTAAGAAAGCATTACAAGACAACCGAATCGCATTTTGTCCAAAATAGTGCTGTTTGTTTGTCTCTCGCTAATGGATAAAATGCTTTTTGTTTGTTTAGGGCGTTTTTCAAGCCAGAAATATACGTGAAATATTGCGATTAGAATTTCTAGGAGTACGTGAATTGATAAATGATGTTTTAAAGAATGCAACGCCATCTATAAGGCAAAATGTGAAAATTTGGACAAAGTGCGATTTGAAAGTCTGCTCCACATATATCACCCCTTAACAGGAGTACGTGACATTACAAGTCACCCTGTTTAACGGTGCCAACTACAAGGATGATAAAGAGACTGCACCCAGACATGCAATTTTAAATAATCTGCTAAAAACAAATCATGCCGTATATTAAGTTCACAGCCTACCTGTAGCACTTTATGACACGACAGAGTCTCCTGAACTTCTGCAACTCCCATAATAGTCACAATACATCTCACGTATACCATCACAGCTACTGAAAGTGTTGCTTTATATGTTATGCTCATTTTTTACAAAATATCTCCAAAAGCATCAGCGTTGATCATTTGATCATCATATTTGATATTTTTACATTCAGCGGTTCAGCATTCAGATAAAAAATGAGATTCTCGGCAGGGTTACCAGGTTTTCAGTCACGTTGGGTGCCAAGCTTTGATGAGAAAGTCGCCAGAAATCGCCAACCTTTAAAGTGAAAATTAACTAGGAGTCTGGCCATAAAACTCCAGGTTAGAGATTGGAATGGACTTCGCCCGAGGAGGTGGAGTAGTGACTGGCCTAAACGCTCAAGTAGAGAAGTAGAGTGCCTGTTGATGATAACTGAAGAGCGGGGTTGAGGGGCAGCTTAGGATGGGGGTTGTTAAACTCGTGTAATATTAACGAAACTATAAGTTCGTTCACAAGGGGCGGATCCAGAGGGACATTTTGAGGTGGCGGGACTTCTGTCGAATGTTCTTGTGACATTATGACAACGTGAAAACGGGGAGGAGGGTTACCGACTATTGAAAATTGAAGAGAGGAGGGAGAATAATTTTCTGCGTATTTATCTTCCTCACTGATCTTTTGGGGGGTGGCTCGTGCTCTTCTCCCTGTTGTTGTACAAAAATTGTAATAATCGTACATCAAGCAACACTGTGTCAAAAGTGTTAGGCTAGGATGTCATTGATATGCTCAGAACACGACACCTTAACATTACATTTGACCATAAGCGTCATTGTGCTCAGAGAACAGAACTTCCGCTGGTCATCTGAAAACTAAATTTCTCTGACGGCTTGAGTTCAATGTGTTCGAGAGAGAAGTTTATAAAAACATATATCTTAGAAAGAGGTAAAAGCCGGCTGGATATCGAAGCTGCCAATCTGCCTCATTGTAATTATGATACACCAGTTCCTTGAATTAAGGTGCATGCTGAAAACATGCGTTATTTTGCTCTACGCCCAAATAATGGTTTTATTTTGAGCGTACACAGTTTTTAATTGTGGATTGTGTCGAATCTTTTTAGGATCGATTCCGGATCTGCCCTAATGGCGCTGCATTTCATGCCGGAATGAAAGGTGAAGATCATCATAAATCATTGTATCATTGCTTCCTTTGATGTACTAACGTATGTCCTAAAAGCTTTGGCACATAATTCATTGACTTTAATTTTAACAAACACAAAATAATATGAAGTTGCCTTTGAAAACAAGAGTTTTTTTACTTACTTTACTGTCAGTTCACATTTATCCATTTTAAAGTTTTTGCTTTAAAATTTCATATAAATTAAAAATAAGAAAAAGTATATACAAGTTGGTTGAGCAAGTACCCAAAGCTGAAATCTATCGAATATTCCAGAATGAAAACATTTCTGGCAGAACCATTTATCGAACAACAGCGGAGTGCGAGCAGGGAATACCATATCTGAATCTTCAAAAAAAGTGGAAGACCACGTGCATTTACTGCACCGAGGTCAGAGAGATTGGTGAGAAGAGCAAAAAATCAGGTTGGAATGTCAACAAGAAGACTGGCTCGACCATACAGATCTTCTAAGAGTACGATATCATTGGAATTGAGGAGGAATGGTCTTAAATATCGAAAGAGACTTGAATACCCCAAATACTTTCAAGCACAACTCCTTTGTACACCAAAGATGCTGCCATCAACTGAAGCGGGTACACTAATGGAAAAATCATTAGTTTAGATGACGAAAAGTATTTCTCTTTGAGTAATTCTCAAATGAAGGGAAACGACGGATCGTATACGGACAACGTAGAGGAACGATAATCCGATAAATATTCTGTGTCAAAACTTTTAGGACGTAGGTTATTAAATGTCCGAGAAAGAATATCTACCTATAGACTAATTGTATGGACCTGTTAAGTAATTTAATCCGTTTAATTTCTGTTGTAAATATTCATAGCTAAACATAATCTTGTATGAATTGTTGACAGCGTTGCTTGAAAAACTCAGAGTCAACCTGCTTGGCGCAATTTTATTTTCTTCAATAGTGGATCAAATAAGGTGCAAATCTATTGAATAAGTCCTCTCTCTATCTCTCTCTCTCTCGACCTCCACTCATCAATTTTACGTCCTCAGGTTTGACCGGTGTGTAGAGAAAGAACTGAGAAAACGTAAAGAGCTGGACACTGAAGTCGCAGGACCATTGTTTGATGTAATACCACCTCCAAAAGACCTTAATGTCACCAAAGCGCTTCTGGATCGAATGTCCGAGGTTAGTATAGAAGCAATGAAGTACTATGATTTTTATAAAGGGAACTATATATCAGAAATAATAACGATCCTAACGTAACTTTTGACTTAAACAAAATCCTTGATAATACACATATCCAGTCTTTCGCAGACGATACGCAATTGTTACATTATGTTAATCACCAGAATGTCGAAAATACTGTAGAAATTTTGCAAAATGATGTTAATAATTTAATTCAATACTTGTCTGATCATAATCTGGCTTTCAAGAAAAGGATGGCCTAACCTCTTGAAGTAATTGTTTCTGTTTCAGCTGTGTCACGTTACATTTAAGTTGACGATTACCTGAACAATGCATTTAAAGCACTCTAGTTCAAGTTGTTTTTATAGTCGGACGAACGAAAGCTATACTACTAGTATAAGGCGGATTGAGATACAGTTCCAGCAGACAGCTTGCTGTTTCCACTCGCGCAGTGGTCGATTCTGATAATTGATGGCGCTTCGCGCTGTCTTATATCGATAGGCATTAGACATTACACTCTATATACAGCATAGTTGCTTAGCCTAGACCAGTGGTCGCCAATCCGTCGATCGCGAGCTGCCGGTATCTCGCAAAGGCAATTCTGGTGGCTCACAACATATTTTGAAAAGGTGTAAAAATCATAGAAGCTTCCGTAAATTTTGTAAATTCTCATGATAAACACAAGCAGCGGCAACCCTGCGGTGAGCGATATGTTCGAGAACGATCTCGATTACCTTGTGCGCTCAGTTGAAAACTGAACGGCACAAAGTCCAGCGGTTGAGTTAGAGTTGGCCTGCAATTAAAAACTATATGAGCAGTCGTAAGAAGATGGAGACATACCATTTCTATTCGGAATGGGAAGAACAATATTTCTTTACAGAAGTTAAAGGTAACAATGTATGTTTGTTATGTAATGTTATATAATGTTATGTAATCTGTTTCCGTTGCTAAAAATGTGAATATCGAGAGGCATTATAAAACATTCGAGATTTGAAAAATCATTCCCATTACGTTCTGCAACCAGAACGGAAAAACTGAAACAATTAAAAAATCAGTTAATTGGACAACATACAATGTTTTTAAACAATCGACAAAAGTAAGGCTGCAACTGAAGCATCATACCGGGTGTCCTAGATGATTACACAAAAGAAGAAACCTTATGAAGATGGAGAAATGATAAAACAGGCGTTTTTCGAAGCTGCAGGTTCATTATTTACCAACTTTAGAAATAAAGGCGAGATAGTGTCTGCTATAAAATATGTATATACAACTTTCTGATAATACAGTGATGAGACGAGTAGAAGTAATCAGCAATGATGTAGTTTTACAGTTAAGAAATGACTTCGACAACTGTGCTTGTTTTTCACTGCAGCTGGATGAATTCACAGATGTCGTTGATACCTCTCAGATGGCCGTGTTCGTCAGGATGGTTTTTAGTGATTTTACGCTTAAAGAAGATCTTTTGAAGTTTATTCCTCTAAAAGGACAGAATACTGGGCAGGACTTTCTTCTTTTAAAAATATTATTTCTTCTGAGAAAATCCCAATATCGAAAATGGTAGGCTTGACAGCCAATGGCGCTCCAGCTATGGTGGGTCGTGATAAGGGTCTCGTGGGAGTATGTCGTGGAGATGAAAGTTTTCCGCAATTTCTCTATTACCACTGCATTATCCATCAGTAAGCATTATGTGAACATTTTCTGAATCTAAACTGCTTCTTCACTCTGAAGTCTGATGGTTATGTAGGGGACGAGTGCTAATGATATCATATCTGCCATAGTTCAATTTTCCAAACAACGTGATGAACCGATTCCGGAACTGGAAAACTCAATCTGGCTTGAATGAATCTTAAAAATTTTAGAGGCATCCCGGCCACCATAAGGAGCCAGTGCATAGGCCGCTTAAGCGGGCCCTTAAGCACCTCTACAATACTTAAATCACAAGCCTCGCCCTTTTAGCGAAGTTGAGAATCGCCTTGAGTCCAAGCTCCTTTACGTCCTGAGGGTCCAAAGTAATGGACCCCAGTATAGTCTGCCTATAGTAGCTCAGAGCTTCACAGCGACACAAAACGTGCGCCGAGGTCTCTTCCTTTACTCCGCAGCGTTCGCACAAGGGATCCTCAGCCACCCCCATCACGTGCAGGTGCCGCCTTAACGTGTTATGGCCAGACAACAGTCCCACCAGCAACCTTAGGTTGGCTCTACCCAGAGATAAGCAGAAGCGTCCATCCTTAGCACTGGGCCCTTCTATGAGCTCTCGTGCCTGGTGGAGATGTCTAGAGATACTTCTCCATTTCTGAGAGTGTTGTCTTGCAGCCCACGTCTCCATTTTCCTCCTAGCTTTGTGCGCGGTTACTCCTAGAGCTGGCTCAGGACCAACGAGCTTGCTGGCTGATCCTGTTTTCGCCAGAATGTCCGCCGTCTCATTGCCCCTTATCCCAGCGTGCCCCGGTACCCATATCAACGATACCGGATGCCTCGCTGCGAGGCAATCCAGAGCCTCCCTGCAGTGCACTACAAGACTCGAAGTAATCTTACAGGCTCTTAGTGCTTTCATTGCAGCCTGGCTGTCGGATAAGATTGTTATTCTTCTCCTAGGCCCACCCTCCTCCAGAATGTGAGATACACAAGCCAGAATCGCAAAGATTTCCGCCTGGAAAATGGTGGTGTATTCACCGAGAGGCAGAGATAGCCTAGTTCTAGGCCCAGAGACCCCAGCACCTGAGCCCTCTTCGGTGACCGAGCCGTCCGTGTACCAGACCTGCCCGCTCACTTCGGAGAGTCCTCGGCTACCGGCGTCCCACTCCTCCCTCGTTGGATACTCCACAATAAACTTGCGGTTGGAGCGATATTTAGGGGTAATACGATCACCCCTGCTTAGAAGGACGGGGTCCTCCCTTTCTAATTCGACTAAGATGGCAGTATGCCCCTTGACCGGATTCAAGAAAGCCCAGCTGCCCTGACTCCACAGTCGATGAGCGACTACTCTCGCTTCACCGCGGATCACCAGATCCAACGGTGGGAGATCCAACAGAGCTTCCATTGCACTCAATGGCGTTGTTCGCACTGCGCTTGTAATGCTAATACAGGCCAAACGCTGAATTTTATTGAGTTTGGCCTTAGTTGACTCAGTTCTAATGCAAGGCCACCAGACCAGGGAGCCGTACAAGAGAGATGGACGTACTATCGTCGTGTAGAGCCAGTATACCACTTTGGGTTTAAGCCCCCACCTTACACCGACAACACGTCTACAAGCCCACATCGAATTGCGAGCCTTGCTAACCTCGTGTTCCACATGCTCTCTCCAGTTCAGTTTGCAGTCCAGGATAATTCCCAGATATTTCACTGACTGGGACAAAACTAATCTAGTCCCAAAGAAGGTCGGCATGACCAGTCCGTCAAGCCTAAGCCTTCTTCTCCTAGTGAATAGGATCAGCTCGGTCTTTTCAGCATTAACAGAAAGATCGACTTCCCTACACCACGATTCCACGGAGCGCAGAGCGCCCTGCATAATTTCCGAGACTGTTCTGCAGAAACGCCCCCTAACCACTATGCTTACGTCATCAGCATAGGCTTGCGCATAGACTCCCATACTGCTGAGCCTAACGAGGAGTTCGTTCACCACGATACACCACAGTAGGGGTGACAGAACTCCTCCCTGAGGGCAGCCTCTAGCTACGTTCACGCTGCAGCTTACGTTATTCAGCATAGCTGTTGTTACCCGACCCTCCAGAGTAGAGAGGACCCAATCTATTAGGATTGATCCAACCCCGTGTCTAACCAAGGCCTGTCTGATAGAGTCGGTTGTGGTGCAATTAAATGCACCTTCAATGTCCAGGAAGGCCACGAGTGCCACTTCTCGCTGATCTAGAGTCTTCTCCAGCCTCCCGACCAGATTGTGTAAGGCCAGATCAGTCGATTTTCCAGCTTGGTATGCAAACTGATTTGCATGAATGACACACCTTTCCAGCGGGCCATCCCTTAGGTATCTATCAACTATCCTTTCCAGGGTCTTAAGCACAAAAGATGAAAGAGTAATCGGTCGAAAATCCTTCGGGCCAGTATATCTATCTCTGCCCGGTTTAGGAATGAATACCACTTTAGCCTGCCGCCAGCTTCTAGGTGTGAAGCCCGTGGCCACACATGCTCGAAACACATTCAACAGGTAAGGAACAACCGAAATCCGTCCCTGCTGTAACATGGCCGGAAATACGCCGTCCAGACCTGGACTTTTGTATGGGGCAAACGAATCTACTGCCCATACCGTCCTTTCGAAGGTGACAATCTCCCTAGCCGTGCGCCAGTCCTCCCTTGAGGGCCAGCGCAACTGCATGCACTCTGTGATTGATCGCGCTACTGTGGAACCGGGAAAGTGCGTATCCATCAGAAGCCTCAGAGTATCTTCCTCAGAAGTAGTATTCCCCCCCGAGGGATCATGCAGAGATCCCAATCTTGCTTTACTGTCTTTGCATAGGACTCTGTGTATTCTTGCAGTAGCAGGAATGTCATTTATGGACTGACAGAAGTGCCTCCAGGATTCTCTGGAGGCCCTTCTAATCTCCTTTTTGTACTCCTGCAATGCCTTTTTGTATTCTTCCCATAGAGGAGAACCTCTCCTGTGCTTAACTCTGCTAAGAAGTTTGTGCACCGCTCGTTTTCTATCCTCTAAATCTTTGGTCCAGAAGGTTGCCTTGCCCTTACCTTGGACTTTGCGTAACGGGCAGTTTTCCTCATATGCAGCCGTCAAGTCCCTGCTCAGAGACTCGACAGCTGCTTCTATGTCAGAGCCCCTGCCAAGCCTGTATGGGACCGCTCCAAGCTTACTGTCAATGTCTGCCCTAAAGGACCCCCATCTAGTATGCCTGGGATTCCGAGCATATTTATCCGGAATCTCTCCATCAGTCTTGAACAGTATATACCTGTGATCCGATAGAGAGGGTGTTAGAGACACTTTCCAGTCCCTGATGTCCTGAGCTAAGTTAAGCGTGCTCAATCTGGCTTAGAGATTTTGGTTTTCGTGTGGATATTTCAGAAAAATTAAATTAACTTAATTTGCAGCTTCAGGGGAGAGACAAAAAACTAGCAGAAACGATTTCTGATATAAAAGCGTTTATCAGAAAGCTTGAGTTTTGGAACAAAACTTAATCGATGGCGATACCAGGCATTTTCCTGTTCTTTCAGAAAATATATCTCAAAATCCATATGACAGTAAATATCTTATAGAAATAGTCTCTAACTTGAAGGATAACTTCAAAAATCATGGAAATTCATATCCAACTGTTTGCAACTTCTGTGCCGCAGCATTTTAGCGAAGACATCGCTGCGACAGAAATGGAAGTGATTGCGGTTCAAAATGATTTAGCTTTAAAATCATTATTCTCAAATGCAAAATGTATCTGGCTTTCAGTAAGTAAAGACAAACATTCAGTTCCATGTCGTGTTGCCTTCAAAGTGAAAGCGTTATTTAGTTTAGCCTATTTGTGTGAATCTTCTTTTTCAAATATGAAATTTATTAAAAACAAATTAATACCGTAATCGAGTTACAGATGTACATTTGGATAATTGTTTTTGAATGGCGTTATCAAATTATACTCAAAAAAAAAAATGTTGTTTATTTTTGAAGCACCTACGATTGGTAGGAATGGATGTAGTTATGCAGTATGTATTAGTTATTAGTTTATTTAAGTTTATCAGTATGTATTAGTATTAGTAAAATAAACACATGTATGTCGCATATAACTGTGTATTATTTCATTTAAGTTGGCCTACATTGCTTACCACTAGGTAGCTCAAGCTTGTTCCAAAATTATTAAAGTAGCTCAACACGCTGAAAAAATTGGCGACCACTGGCCCAGACTATGCTGAGGAGTTGCCAGACAGCACGAAATAGTTGTCCATGGTTGGTCGGTCGAAGAAACGCAATATTTCTAGTTTGTTTTTCAATTATTCTGTGCAACAGCTTGGAGGTATTTAGAAAAAATGTCAGCGTCAGAAAATTTCATTTTCAACCATTTTTAAATTTGACAATAATTATCCTATGAGAAGTATCTATTTGTGATTCTGATTTCGAAGCTATAGCTCAGGCTCTAGTCGAAAATAGTTCTCATGCCACACTAACGAGTAACGAGTAAGTATTGTAATCGTGAATAATTTCGAAAATGGGATATTGTTTATTTGTTTTTTTTTAACCTTTGCACCGCCTATAACTTGGAAAGTACAGCTCGGGTTTTGTTGAAGTCGGTGGGGGGGTTGTATCGCAATTTTTTGATGTGAGTATATTATTAACCCAGTTACTTTACGCACCTGTTAGACATATTTCGCACACCACATATTTCCCCGTACATTTGCCCGTAAGACAGTAAAATATGTTCATCAGATTATTTGAAGGCTTACCACTATTTTAATACAGAATAACTACTACTCAGTCAGTGAATATCAGTCGTTTGAATATTTGCTACTGTTGAAACTTTAGTAGTTATTTTAATTATTTATTCTTTTTAAGCTGCGTCTGTCACACTGAATTATACTCATTTTAAGCTATTTTTTATAATGTCAGGTATCCATGTATTTAACTGTTTGTTGCTGTAGTGTGATATATATTTAATTGCCGTATAATCATGACGTATTCCATAAATCTATATATTAGTCGCATCTGCCTTATGCCACGGTTTTTTTAAATATTGCATCAAAGAAGAAAGTGCTAGCCCTGTACTTGTTATGGAGTCTGCGAATAAGAAGAAAAAATAGGCGGTTTTAGATTCACCCATTGCTTCAAAATCGACATACATTGCTTGGCCGAAAGTGCTCAATTTCCGAATATCGTGTTTTCTGACGAGAAAATTTTTTTAATTGAGCAAGAATGGCAGAAAAACAATGCTCCGAACTTCATTTCGACCACACAATAGTTCTAAAATTCATCCGACGGGAATCCAATGGGTTATTTTATTTGAGCCACTTTGGAGATCAAGATCCGAGCTAAGAAATACACCAGACTCGAGACACTAAAGAAAGCCATTATCCGTGAGTGGGCCAAAATTTCGTCAAGTCACATTAGGACAGCTTGTTTTCATTCGTTTTTGGACCGTCTCAATGCTATAGTCAAGGCAAAAGGTGGTTATATTCAGCCAAAGTGCACTATTTCTGCATTTTCGCTTATTTTCACACATTCTGTACTTTGGAATAAATAAAAATCATTTTCCAAACCGAATTTATGGCATTTTGAGAAGTTACACATCGAGTTCCGGACCCTGTAGAGGCTGGACCGTGCGACCCGCGCCGGATCGTGTGAAAGGGGCATTAGGTACTCGATTCGACCATACAAGCAGCGCAGCGACATACGGGATGGATGTGATATTATCTATATACAGGGTGTCCCGAAATTGAAGGATATTCCTGTAGCTGTAGATAGGGCACGTCATGACCTAAGAGATGGTATTTGTTTGATTAAAACTCTTATAGTTTTTACACACACAAATATCAACCTTTTTGAGCCAGGTTTGTTTTAAAACACTCAGACTTAAGCATTTTATCTCGTCCAGCATTCTTTTTGCTTGAGGTGGCAAGAACTCACATAATGAAAGTCATGAATTTTTATCAAAACCCCTTCTCACTTCAGGAATCACTGTGCCAATTGCTCTAAAAAATTGTCCAACTATTGGCAATTTTTACATGGTACTACTGTTATCCACCCTCTGTTGCTTTTTTGTTTTATTGCAGGTTTAATGGAGCAGGGTCAGTTTATTCGTTGATAACAGAAAATAACAATGTATGACTTGGATACAAAAAAATCGATAGGATTGACGTTAAATGTTAGTTTACATTTGAGATATCAATGTAATGGGCACCACTGACTGTTATGCATGGCCCACAGGGTGTCAAAGAGACGAGAGAATCGGTTTTAGTAACAATTCAGTCTTTGGCATGATTTCTATGTGAGTTTTTCACCGCCCAAAGAAAAAATAATACTAGACGAGATAAAATACTTGATACTGAGTGTTTTGAAACAAATTTGGTTCAACAAAGTTGGCATTTGTAGGAATGGCACGGGATTAACTGAATATAAGACAGATTAGAAAAAATGAATGCTGAAAATCTCGGAAACTATAAGTCTTTCAATAAAACAAAATTTTATTTTTATCTAGGACACCCTGACGTGAAGTATCTACCGTTGTAGGATTATCTTTCAATTTCGGGAAACCCTGAACATTGTGCTTGAAGTGTAATTCAATGATGTTATTTGATTTCGTGACGTAATATTATATAGTGGATTATATAAGTATTTACCAAGAGCAGTCAGTTATCAAACATTGTTGACAAGCAGTTTCAGACCAGAGTTCCAAAGAAATGAGGCTGCCGTGTACGAATACACTCATAGCTGCAATCTGAGGATTTTTTTTTTCATGAATAGCCTGGTTCTGACAAAACCTACGTGTTTTTGATGTCATCACCATGAGCGCCCATATAGTAAACTCCAGCGCGGGGGCATGTTTGGTTTACAAGTGTTGAGAACTGGCCAACCCGTTGGTGACAATTCAAGATGGGAAATGGTAGCAGAAATAAAATCTTTTATGTTCGGATGTTTTGAAAAGCAACAAAAACTCATACGCCAATTTTTACCTAAGGGTTGGGTATCTTATCAAGAATATTTCACCTTGAAGCAGAAACCAGGTGAGGGGGCATATGCCTGGCTCTGACAAAATCTCTGTGTTTTTGATGTCATTACACTACATGGAAAATTGTACTATCTGTTTCGAAGTCGACGACGAAGTATAGAGTCAATCTACTTCACGTCATTATATTCAATATCTTGGATCATTTTAAGTTACTTTTCATTCGTTGACTTGATAGGCTAGCAGTAGTCGTGTGGAAATCTGCACCCAAATGCGCATGACTCCGGACACGGAACTGACAGAGGCTGCTGATAAATACGCCAAAGCGGAGGCTATGTGCGCCTTTGCCGGAGCTGTCAGAGCTGCAGAAGCTGCTGCAGAAGGTAAGTATTCCAGGAATGTCTACTAGTATTATAAATGAGATAGTATTTGTGTTTGTTACTCAATCACACCAAAATGGCTGAATGAATATCTATGAAAGGTACAGAGATATTTTATAGTCTGGAATAGCTCCCGGGAAAAACTTCAAAATTATCTATCTATCCATTTTATTAGCCCTAATTTCAGATACCCAACTTGCCCCGTCTCAGTAGCACGGTATGTGAATTCTAGCTTGTAAGGCTAGGAGTGTAATAGTAAGAGCAAAATAAGTCACGTTAATAGAAATGTTACCGATGCCTTTAACGTTGTAAATAAAAACTTCACATCTAATAAATTAATTTATTTAAGACAAATAAATAACAACTATATTAAACCGTTTGCTATTTATTATACTCCATAGGTTACCTTAAGAATATCCGCTAGTTTATCCGCAATCATGTAGCATATAGCATTGATGTGACTCGAGGTTGAAAGAGGTATGACACTAGCATCTGCTACCCTCAGTCTCTCCACACCATGCACCCTCAAATTGTGGTCAACCACATCGCCATTCTCAGGATCCGGACCCATTTTGCACGTTGATACTGGATGGTTATTGTGCATTGTGATATAAGGAATCGCGCAGTACCAATACTTATTCGATAGAAAAGTATGGTGACTACATTGTTTCAAAGGTTTCATAGACAATTTGGCTCCAATCTTCTTGAATGCTGGTTGACTAGCTAGTTCGAATGCCATTTGGATTCCTTCATAAGTGAGTCGCTTATCCCTACCTGCAGGATCTGTCAGCGAGTTCGGGTTGATAAGCGGGAAATCATATGGCGAGCCAGTTTTCAATCTTACAGTCCCAAGTGACTTGGTGTGAAGAGGAGTTACAAATATCTGGAAAGATGTGGGCGACTGGTTGTTATTTACAGCTTCACTTACATCATCTGTCCAATTTTGAAATTTCCCCAAAGCGTATCCAGAATAGTTGCCGTCCCCAAAGCTCATTTCCAGATCTGGATAGCCAGGTGTTGTGGCCAGTTTGGTGGTGTAGTAGCCTACAGCTTGAGAGTTGAGGGCTTCTGCTAAGTATCCAGTCCCGTTGAGATAGTCCTCGATGTCTCTGCGAAGATTTGCTATTGGTTCGCTGATATTGCTTGTCCAGGTTAAGCCGAACACCATCAAGTGATCTGAGAAGTGGTTACCGACTGCTAGATCTTGAACCACGGGGATTCCTAGAATAAAAAAAAAATAAAAAAATAAGCCCAGTCCAAATCAAAGGACAGCATGCACTATGCTCGTGATATTCTAAGGCTGGAAGACAGAGTAGTATTCAGAACGGTTGTTTAAAGATTGAGTGGTGTCGATTGTAAATGCTATTACTCAGTGACATTTTGAAAATATAACTAAAATACATTAGTTTGTCACTTTCAGAAAAAATGCAATTAAAGTGTGTAATTTACACTAATGGCATAATAACTATGGATCAAATAAAAATAGTAATTGTTTAAAGATTTCCAGGAGTGCTGTCTCTCAGTAAAAAAAAATTGTAGAGATAAAATATCTAGTTTCTGCATCTTTCAGTCAACAAAGTTTTGATGCTGCAGTATCTATGCAATCTTAGGAGATAAGTGTGAAGAAAAAATGAAAATTTTTTATTCCACAGACTTGTAAAAATGTTTTCCTGCAAAACCGTTACGTCTTTTTTCAAAATCTCGATACGACCATTTCTTGCTGAAATTTTCAATGAGATGTCATGAACCAATTATCGTACAGAAAATCTAAAGGTGGTTTCAAAAGTTGGAGCGGGTTCGCTAAAATGATCAATGATTAGCTATGGAAAAATAATATTTTCGTCCCCCGTATGGGAAAAGGCACAGGAAAAAATTGGTAATTAGTGGATTTTTGGAAAACTAAAGGCTAAATTTCAAATATTGACATAATGGCTATTGTTGAACTTGACTTTTACAGCTCAATATATCCATAATAACCCTGTAAAATTTTATTATGACCTGCCTAGACGTTTTTTTGTTCTTTTGAACAAGGTTTCGAAAAAAATAAAGGATCGCGTGTTTTGCTGGTAGAGACCTTACAATGGAATATGTTTTTTTTTTTAGCTTTTTGCGTATTTTTTACACAGTGTTCGAATTTATGGAAGAAATCTTTTTCGAAAAGCAGGTTAAAGCTGAATCAGCAGGCCATTGGGTCCATGTAATACTTTTGCGGAAAAACATGTTTCCAAGTCAATAGAATCGTATAAATAAATGAAAAATTTCCGTTTTTTTCTCTTTCACTGTAACCTAGGATTAAATAGAACCTGCAGCTTCAGCATTTTTTTGACTAAAAGATCCAAACATAGGACATTTTAAACTTCAAGATGCTTCTCATAGAACCTCAATACAACCATTTTTTTAAAAAGAATCACTAATACCTTATTATTTTCATTAGATCCGTCATTGTTTTTCATTAATATAGAATCATTTTCATTTGAATTTTGTTACGTTTTGCTCTTGGTTTAGTACTTACCAAGCTCTTGTAAGTGATCTTTGGGCCCTATTCCAGACAGCATGAGCAACTGAGGTGTATTGATAGTTCCGCCACAAACGATGATTTCTTTGTCAGCCATAGCAGTGTATAGCCTTCCGCCATGACTGAATTCAACACCACGAGCTACTTTATCGTCATCAATTATAATCTTGGTGGCCAGTGCCTTGGTTACCACCGTCAGATTTTTCCTGTCAAGAAAAGGCATGAGAAAGGCTGTGCCACTGTCTTGTCTTCTACCGTCCTTAATGTTTACCTGTAAAGAATTGAAGGCATACTCAACAGAGAGCAAAATGATTTTCAAATAAAGATGTGTTTATGCAAATGCCGAAAGATATACTACGTATGTAGGTCAGATCATGAGAAAAAATTACAGAAACCTGGAGATTCGCTCCCCTGGAGCAGCATAGTTGCTAGAGTTTAAAACAAATCGTAGGTTCGCACACTGTATACAGGGTAATTGAAAAAAACATGGCTTCTGAAGTTATAAAGGCAGATATAGATAATATCTACAAGATCGGAAAAAGTATCCGGAGTGAATAAAGCAAGCAACTAAAAAAATTGTGCAGGGGTGACCCTCCTCTAACTATTTTTTATGACCTGCTAGAAAAAGTTATTTACAAATGCTATAATTCAATTCATGCAATATTTTTTAATTCGAATACCCTATGCATTTTCAAGAAAGTGTGCCATTTATTCCAGAGCATGCGTTTCTATGAAATTATGATATTGATTCGAGGTCACAAATACTTCATAAGTAATTTCGTCGTTTTAAAGACACTTACAAATGCTTAATTCAAAAATATATGTCTTAGAAACAAATCGAAGTCACCAATTGAAGATAGCCATTCTTGAACCAAGATCACTCTTTTTGTGTGTGTTTTCACTATTCTAGTCAAAAACTTGTGAGAACATAAAGAAGATATTGCACAGGTAACCTTATAATAGAAGAATTTAGCATACAGCTTTTTTTCTAACCAGTGATACAAAAGCTAGAGGAGGAGCTCAATTTGTAGTACATGTAGTACAAACATCCTGTAGGATACATTTTTGTGAACATCAGTGGCATAGAAAATGGGAAATTTTTCTCTGGAAGAATAGAAAAATGTGTTATCTGCACTGACGTTCTATTTTCAACATACGCCAAAAATTAGTAAGCTTTGACAATGACCATTGTATAAAGCAATGCCAACTCGCCACAAGCCTATTTGAATAATTTATCGTAATGTATGGCGCAGAAGTTCACAACCCACTGTATCGCGGCAAGGCGATATATTTGGTCAGATGTTCATGAGGGACTCTGGATTTGGATTTACTTCCCATTCTAGAAATATTTCCTCTGTTGTTCGAATCACTCTGTAAAGTATGTAAATTTCAACCTTTTGAGAGTATGTAAAACGTTAAAAATATATTCAAACTATCAAAGTATCCCATACCATAATTAATAAATTATTTATTTATTTATTACACAAAATCAAGGAGAAATTATATCTATCTTTCCTGGGAATTTGTAAGACATAATGGTGTTGTTTACAATGAGGTCTTTATCATATATGAACTAATTACAGTAAGTAGTATTCTAAATTGTTGATTAGCAGTGTCCCGTTTGAACAGTTTATCGTAATCATTAGTCAGTCAACGGAACAGCAGTGTATAACCTAGATCCCTAGATAATAGAGAGTTCTTAGGAGTCTTGTTTTGGTGCTTCGTTATGATCTTCCTGATTTTGGTTTTGTGCAGAGTCCAATCATCCGTTATCCGTTAGTTACGGAGAATCTTATTTCGTAACGTTATATTTTCCTTATTCAGTGATAAAATAATTTCAAGTTGTAAAAACATATTGGTTAAAGTATAATAGGAATAATAGTAAAATTAATGCGAATATAATGCGCCGTTCTAAATAAATTGAATAGTACTGACTTTTGTTATACATATATGCAATATGACAAAGTATCTAGCCTTAAATTGTAGTTCATCTAATTTTGTGGTAACTTGTCGTTCTGTACTTCTGCGACTCAATACTTGCATTTGTTGCCCGGTTCGGACACAAATATGTATTACCGAAACTTTATATGAAAAAAAATAACAAGAATTCGAAATCTTGGAGTTAGCTCTACGTCGAAATTAAGTAACCTGTCATAACTGTCAGTAGGCACTACACTCAATTCAGCACGGCTCACTTTATTGGTCATAAAAGCTGTTGTTTTTCCAACCATCCTTATTTACTACCTCTATCAAAAATAACGTAAAGAAAAGCTTAGGGGTACGTTATTGTTGATGCACCAAAAACTTCCCGTAATAGCATAGATACTCTATATTGGTCAGTCTGTGACACTGACAACGTATCAAGATAATGACAAAACTTTGTGGCCAGCAATTAGTACCAGTAAATAAGTCACATGCAAGCGTACGTAGTTTTAAGACAGTTCTGTGACGTAGCGTCTCTAACTCTTCTACACAATTATTTGTACTTAGGCAGCCTGTACTTAGCGGTTGTTGACTGACAGAACCGGTTTATGTATTTTGGGAAGAGCATAAAATTTAGGAGAGACAGAATTATAAGTGATTAAGGATTTTTTTGGTGCTGGTTGATTTGAACAGTGCTGAGTAGCCTGTTAACGATGTCATTGCATCGTTTCTCTACTTAAGATGTAGGGTCTTTACTGATAACTTTATAAGAGGGATCATTCTCAATCAAGTTATTACATAGGTCAACGTATTGTTGTCTTAACATAATCACAGTAACATTGCCTTTATCTGACTTGGTAACAATTAATTCAGGATGACCTTTTATAAATTTCCTTGTTTTATTTAACAGGTTGTGATAGAAAAAGTGTTTTTTGTTGAAAGTAGTTTCTGATAATGCTGGTGGAACGAACTATGACAATTTTCCTTTCTGTATCATCACTAATGGAAGAAGATATCGAATCTACATCAGCCAGAATCTGATTGCAATGACACTGTTAACAAACGGTTCAACGCTGAATTTTGGACCCAAAGAAAGAAATCTTGAGATGTCATCTGAAATGTATATAATGTGGTCAATAAATGAAATGGAAGGCGTCCATGTGCAGCCGGATAAAGTATTCAGTATTATGTGGACACTTTCAAAAATATGAGCTAAATGGTATACTATTTATTCATTTGTATCCTTCTTGAAAAGTGCATTTATCTTGTTCATTTTACTCATTGTTATAACTTGAATAATGCGTGGCAAAATCTTATCTCAACTCAACTCAACTTGAAATGCAAAGTTTGTTGTGTGTTGGTTTTAATAAGGTAACATTAAAATCTCTAGGATTGATTTGATCTGTTATTAGCAAATGATACACTAAGACAGCTTCACCATTCTTTCTCATTTATAGGGTGAATTTTTATTTATATTTATTTGTTATTTAATAATTTACCTGAAATTGCGTAACTCCGATCTGTTGCTCCCCATTTACGTCAGTGAGGTTATATCCCATTTCTTGATTAGCTTCCAAAAATACATCTGTATGGGTAGAAATTGGTAGGGGGTATTCAACTCTTAAGAGACCTCCTACAAAATATTCATTCATATACCTTAGAAAGATACTTATTTCAAATAGAATTTGCATAGCTGCGTTGTTAATAAAAGAATTTCGGAAATTTTCGTGAATATTTTAATCCTGCAGCTTCCAAAAGACAAGACTTAACATACCTACTTGTCCGGATATGAAAGTTCTCACCTCACGTCAAATTCATGGTATTTGCAACGATAGATAAATATGCTTTATTGACTAAAGAATATAATCATTCTTAATGACAAAGCTCATATAAAACTAAGCTATAATATAAAAATATAAGTGGATCTTGGGTGAATTATAGAACTCACACAAGGTGGTTTGCATATTAAAAAGTTTTCAAGTTCACGCGAAAATATCTTTAAATTGTTAACTCCTTTTGGGTACTATTAATTTGAGATCTTGTTTTCCTCTAATATTGTAACTTATAATTAATGTTACGAATTTAGATTTATTTTTAAAAATAGGAGTTGCTATTTCTAAAAAAAACAATGATTATTTTTAATCATTATTTTGAGACTTACAAATGAAGGCTTGCATGTAGCTCTGGAATTGCTTTTACTTATATATTTAATAGTTCGTTTTTGTAGAACAATCACCTTTTTAAACGATTTTGGGCATAGAAACATCATGATATATCTACTTTCAAATAAGGCAAAGTAACTGCTGTGTTTTTCCCTATGTTGTAACTAATTGTTCTTATAATAAAGGAAATCTAAGCTAGTTGAGTAAAATGAGGGAAATAATCACAAACTGAGGGAATACACTGAAGCATTGAACAAAAGTGCAACCTAATTTTTTTACATTTTAACCTGCGCAAAGAAAGTACTCACCATGTTTATGCTTTTCATAAATGACAAAATGAAACGTTAATTGCCCGCAGGACCGGTATGTCTTAGAACAACCGCAGAAATCGTAGAGGTTTATGACCGCTTCAGAAGGATGCCAAATTGTGGCCACTACAACCTTTAAGACCTTATTAAAAAGTTTAGTCCAACTAAAACGCATAGTTACATAATTCCAGAATTCTATTGTCTCAACGTCTAGCCACACTTTCAGTCTTTTTCGTGATAACCGCGTTGTATTTTAAATTGCTCACCAGAACTATGGTATTCAGGATCGACTGGAGCTTCGGGATAGTTGTGATAGTAATCTTCGCTATTGAGGAAATATGGCAACACGTCTTCATAGCACCATCCGGGGTTCCCCATCTCGCACCACCTTTCATAGTCGTGGCGATTGCCACGGACGTAGATCAGAGCGTTCAGAAGGGCTGTTCCCCCTACGCCCTTACCACGTGGGTGCGGACACACTGACCCTTTGAATCCTGGCAAATAGAGCTAATAACGTCAGCAACCGAAGACGACGTTAAACACAAGCACTACAAGTAGTATACATATGAATAAAATAATATCTAACAAACTAATTTTGTGGAATTGCTTAGAAATGCAAGATAAAGGCGACACTACTACGGCAGCAGGAAACCAACATCCATCGCCACTAGAGGAGTACTAAATACTCGCTAAGCTACCACCATGACATATTATGCAAGAGTTGTATAAACTAAACTCAGGCTGAATAATTATGTTTCATGCTTTTTGGCAATAATCAGTACAGTATAGGGTTTGTTCATTTCGAAACTGATGAAACAACGCTGTTTACGGTTGGTTATGGTCGCGGGATGGAAAGCAAACAGATCCTGTTCAGCCTATTGCATAGAAACATATTACTTGAAGTTCAGAAATGTTTGCCAACCTCTAGACAAATAAAAAACAATACCGAGTGTTGACAGAATTTTCACAGGAAAATTTGAGAGTAGCACGTACGTCGTTTGTGAAGGTTGTTATTGCTTTCACACGCTGTAAAAAGTGCTCGGCAATAGTAGCATACGTCTCCATCGAGGTACGTAATGTACTATTATTTCGCATGAACGAAAACTTCTATGAGGCAAGATTTAAGTAGAATCAATATAGCTTCAGGATACTGACATTATTTTTGTGCAAAAACGGGTGACGCACTGTTTTTCTCTAAGCGTAGAACGAACGCTTCGATGTAAGTGGCTTGAAGAGCATACGGTGAACATGCGGTGAACTATTAAAGGCGGGTCGACAATTTAAATTATGGAAGCATTTCCGGGCTCATGTGAACCGTTTTTCATATGTCATGTTATATGGCTTTCAATAATCCTTACAACATTCTGTAACACCCTGTATATCTATCAGATTTACCTTGGCAGGATGTCTCCTGAGGAACACTGTAGTACCCCCAGTTATAGTCACTGAGGATGTTGACATCGTACCCCATTCTTGTAATGGCCGTGAAGTCATTGGGAAAGTTCCCTGCCTCAATGACAAGAATTCTCCAATCTTCCACTTCAGAAAGCCGACTAGCCAGCACTGATCCTGCTGATCCTGATCCAACGACAATCATGGTGAATGTCCCAAAATCTGAATAAAAGAGGTGTCAAACGTATTGGCAGAATAATGTAAATCTTGTAGATTAAATTTTCTAGGTACATAAAAGTTCGTTAAAATTTATTCCTAAAGCGTCATGCCTGGTACCCGGAACTTGAAATAGCAGACGCCTCCCCGAGAATCCTGAAATATTTAGGATTTGGCTTTCTTAAGATTTGCTACCCCCACTATCCAAATATTTTTTAGGGATGATACACCTTTACAGAGCCCCCTCCACACATAGCTTGCGTTTTTTTTTGAATTTCGACTTCTTTGAGTTCAATTACGCCTTAAAAATCCTCGTTTTCCGCGCAAACTTCGTCGTCACTCAACTTTTTTATTTATTTAGGATACTACGAAAAAAGCTCTCATACTCTTTTAATAAAATGCTACTCGGGGGTACATTTTTTTTCAATATAGAAAAATAAATGTTGAATGTTTAGAATATGCACATGCTTAGAATTTGACAGTGGCTCTATATTAACACGTGAGAAGTATGAAAGCCTGACTGTGGTTTTATATTAAGTATGCCCAAAGATCCTATCCGTTCCGATTTATACAATTTTTGACGGGTACGCGCATTTTGTTTGATGGGATCATTCGTACCAATGGATGTATGTGTGGTCTTGCAAATGATCAATCTGATCCACAGATTTGCTGATGACAGCATTCTACATTCAGGAATTCAGAGTGACAAGCCGATCTCTGCTGGTGAGCTACAGAAAAGAAAACTAGCAGCGACTTCCCCTCTGGCGTTATATCTAGAGGTTATTACTGCTTGGGGATGCAACAATCTGGTACAGCTTAATGCCTCAGAAATACAGTACTCTACCTCGACTGACAAGGGGCGCCCTAGCGCTCATCTGGTTTCGATAGATCTCAGAGCTCTACCAAGAACCATTCATTTAGGCTAATCGGAGTCCCGAACACAGGGGACTTTATATGGCACGAACACATCTCGTCAATAGCGGCAGCACATAACCTCCTCATTCTGTACAGGGCCCAGATAAGACCTATCCTCGAGTACTGCTCACATGTTTGGGGTGTTGTCGCCCCGACCACATTATTCATAGATATGGCTCTCTTCTACCGCTCAGAGCGCTCATCCATGCTGCCGCCCCGCGATGTAGTGTATCCATGGCTGTTGATGAGGTCCATTCACGCACCTGTACGAATTGAGACAAGAAGGAAGCATGTAGAAAATTAAGTTTCTAACAGACCACGCAGAAGATAGTAATTCCGAAAGGGTGATTTCGAATTGTCTAATAAACCAATCTGTCGGCGACCTTCTTCAATCGACGGCGATGCTGTCAAGCAAAATCCTTTTTTGACAACACCAGGAAAGTTCAATTCCGATTAACATGTAGTTCGAACGATATTTGGGCATTAGGATTAGTGTGGAAACGTTCGAGATCAGTGCCAGACGAGTTAAGTGGGAGGTCATGAACAGCAGTGCTTACACGCAACAGAATCGAAGCTGTATTGAAGTTATTGAAATTCCTTAAAAAGAGAGAAAGAACAATATTTAGTACTACTGCGTGATAACGCCAAACCACGTACTGCTATGGAGATCCATCAAAAAAGCACAGAGCTGGGCCGGGAAATTCTATCACATCCTCCATAATCTTCAGACCCAGCACCCTCCGACTATTACCCATTTTTGTCGTTACATTTTCTGTAGGGTCAAAAAAATCAAAAGCAAAGACGATATTTAACAAACGCTAGATTCATTTTCGCACCTACAGATAAGGCAGATGTTTTTAAAGATGACCTCAACAAGGCATTAGAAAAACGTATGTCCTAGAAGTTTTGGCACAAAATTCTTTTGCTTCAATTTTAACAAACACAAAATAATTTCAAGTTGCCTTTGGAAGTCTGTTTACTTACTTTACTGTCAGTTGACATTTATTTATTTTGAAGTTTTCGCTTTAAGATGTCGTATAAATTAGATATAAGAAAGAGTATCTACAAGTTGGATGGGCAGGTACCATGTATGGAACCTAATAAGTTAAATGCATTTTATGTAAGCTATGCTGGAACACTCACTGGTAATCTGCCAAGTAGAAATCTCAGTGTCCATTTAGATATGGATACGGCTCTGGAACAGCCAGAATCTGTTTTTTAGACCAGTTGATCTTTATGAATTGAGATTTATTATAAACAAATTAAAAAATAAAAAGACAGGATGTTTTTGGAATGAATGAGCTCAGTTTAAAGAAGGTAGCACCCACATATCTGCTCAATGCGTTCATGTTATAATACGAGTAATTCTCAGGACTATTTTGATCTATTTAGTACAAAATTATCATACATTAAGCGAACATGTACAGATGTGGTTTAGTTGGTGTGTATTAAATTACTTTGTATTCTTGCTGTACTCCCACCAATAAGTGGTATATCTGTTAGTGATGTTTAAATAAATGAATAAATAATGATTCTCCCATAAAGTTTATGCAATGTATGTAAAATAATGTTATAACCCAAAAACATATATGAATTTCCAGTAGAATTAATGTTATGACTTCGAAATATCCTCACGACTAGACTTCGCCCACAAAGCTTCACTACAAGTTCTGAGATCGTACGAAGGAAAAATGCCTGCAAAAGGTAGTACCAACCTATCGGTTCCTGACTGTCATCACTGGGCTTGAACTCCCGATTATCCGTAGGTACTTCCCATTGCTTTGCAGCCTCTCTATGCTCCGAAATCAAATTCCCGTATGACTTAATCGTTTTTTCAAGATTGTCGCTCCGAGCGCCTAAGCACATGCACCAAAGTACCAAAGTCGCGACGGCGGTGGGTACTATCATTTTTGGCGGTTTCGCTACTACGCGACGCCTGCACACTGAACGTTCTTATATCTGTTTGGTGCAGAGAAGTACTCGCGTCCTTCCAAAGCGCATTTTCACGTTGAGCAATTTTATCAACGGTTGGTATTGTTAAATATCGAGTACTTGAGCTTCCCGCCAAATTTAATGCGTTACAGATATTTCACGATGTCGTTCTTTCATTTTTACTTCCCACGCCACTAAGCGACGAAGTATTGTATTCGCAAAAAATTTCGAAAATGAGATGGTCTTCATCACGAAAAATCGGATCATTGATTTCCGTCGGTTTATCTGTCTGCCGGTGTGTGTGTCTATCCGCTAATCCTTAGACCGCCTATAACATAATGTCACTGCCATGCTTTTCAAAATTAGTACAGTGGCCGCGGAACTAGGGGCAAAACATGAAAAAAATAAATAAAAACAAAATTTCGTTTTTGACGTTTCAGAGATCATTTTCAAAAAAAAATTGTAGGAGTCGAAATTTGTAGATTGAGAGTCGTAGTGGTGGGGGTGAGTATATGAAATGTTTTTGATGTCATTATGTTTACCTATACCTTTATTTATACGCTCCCAACCCCGCTAACTATATGCACCTATTAACCATATTTCACAGATCATAGATTTACCTTTAAAAATTTCACATAACGGAATGAACAACAACTGGTTACAGCAGTGCCGCTGGTGGGCGCCGCCGCGTAGATGTGAGAACGGACAACGTTTCCAGATGAACAGTAACTACCGGTAGGGCAGAGAAAAAATGTCCATGGACTAATTGTATGGGCCTGTTTGACTGATGCGTTTAATTTCTCTGTTGTACATGTTTGTAACCAACTTGTTGTTCTGATGATTTAAATTACGCTGAACTCAGTGCTTTATGAACTGATGTCGGCGTTGCGTAGAAAGTGCAGAGTCAACCTACTTTACACCATTTTTCTTCTGAGATAACTACAATGACTTTGATCGTAAACAGTAGGTAATTTCTTGCTTGAAGTCTTCTCAGATAATTTCCTCGTATTTGACGAAAGATGAGATGTTTCTCCAGGCAGTTTTATCAGACAAAAGGTATAAGTAAAAGCAGTCTAGTAGAAACTGGTATACCTAACAAAAATACAAAATAAAAATATGAAAATCAAAACGAGTCATATACAAAGGTACTATAAAAGTTTTGCAATACGACTTAATAAACGGACGCGGGAGGCTGCACCTTAAGACATGTCCACGAGTTCATGGTAGCCGCCAGCAGCACGTCTGTTGATTTAGTTGTTCATTCGTACTGATAGTGTAAAGTGGGGACTATGGCATCGTGGTCACGTAGTGAGATAAGAAGGAAGGAAGGCCGCGGACGTTTGTAGCAGATGAAAAAATCACTGCTGTGGAGTAAATGGTTGACGAAAACTGGAGAGTGACATGCCAACAGATAGAGGAGACCTTACACCTTAGCAATTCATTCAATTCTGCACGACCATTTACACGTAAAGAAACTTTGCTCTCTCTGGCTAACGCATAGTCTGACGGAAGAGCAGAACACTCGTCGTACGACTTGGTGACGAAAGATGCTGAAAGTTGCTAAAAATTTACTATTATTATGATGTGCCAACCAAGGCTTACTTTGAACGAAGTCAATAAATAAATCTGTATTGCAAAACTTTTGTTATATTATTATATATTCCCAAATTTATTTTCTAATATTTAAAGAAGTTTCATTCTTGATATGCCGAGTGAGTCTCGGGTAGCATTTTCATTGCAAAAATGCTCGTAACAGATCTCATTATACAAACATTTATTATAAGATCTTATATTTAACGTAACCTGTTAGTATGCATGTTAATGAGTGGGACAAATATTGAAACTAAACACGATTAGGATGAGAGGCCGAAGTCGGGCGAGTCTGTTTGGAAGGCATATCGTGCGGTGGCATCACGGAGGAAAACCCTCAGGAGCAAAGCCCATTTGAGTAGCGGTAGAAGAGAGATAGATCGCAGACGACCCGCCGACGGGAAAGAGCCCCGAGGCTATCTGTTAGAGAAAAGTCGCCCCAAACATGTGAGCAATACTCCGGACTAGGTCTTACCTGGGTCTGGTATAGAGTGAGAAGGTCATGTAGAGAAAATTACTTCTTAGCTCAAAGCAAATAGCTTATCTTTTTCCCAGGATCTGCCACTATTGGCGAGATATGTTTGTGCCAGATCAAGTTCTCGCTGATCTGGACTTCGACCAGCCGAAATGAACAGCACTTTGGCAGAACTTGGCCATCCATCGAAACCGGATGAGCGCTAGAACGCTTTTTGTTCGTCAAGGTACAGTACTGTGTTTTGGAAGCAATAATTGAGCTGAAATTTTATATTCACGCTTGGTTCGTATGACATTACACAATAAATTAGAGGCCGCCATTTTGAATCGTATATAGCAAATGGCGATTTATATTTCCTATAGTAACTCCTATAAATTGGGTATCAAATAAGGCGGACGTCTGATATGACAACGCAATATTATTATGACATGAAGCCGATCTGATAATGGATCCGGAATATGGCTATGGGAACCATTTCAAAACTGAAAGAAAAACAGATAGTGCCATATCTGATGAGTTATTCGAGTTTTTCATTATTAAGGCAAGTGCGTTCAATTTGTCGATAAGGAATGTAGTACTGACGTAATACCAATTTAAAATATTTTCACTTTAAAACATGTAGCACTAGAAAGATACCTGTCGCAAATATTAGAATGTTATCGTTTTATTATTATTGGTTCTGAAAACATCTAACATTGCTTTGAAACTGCTCCGAAATTATATATATATATATATATATATATCATTATCTGTCTATAAAATATCGAGGGTCAGTAGGTCTGTCAGGTCTGGTTCCCCAGATTCCAGACAAAATCAAGAATAACGAAGGTAATAAGAGAGAAAATAAAGGCGGAGCGAGAGCAGAAAGGAGACAGTACGGAATTGTTAATTGGTCTTCGGCAACTTCAAAATGATCCTAAAATTAATTTATATTGGTCGTCGTAGAAAAAATATGTTTTGGTTGGGCTTAAGGTCGCACGGTTTAATTTTGTTCATAGTGAGAGCCGCGGACTTGCGTGCTTGCAAACTTGCTCAGCTGTGTAGTCTACTGACTCTCGCAACAAAGTGCTGCTATGCGATTCCGCTTGACTATAACTTAGTTGTGCTCCTGTTGCTTAATGTAGTCCCTTAGGTAAGGAACATCGATATCCCTATAAATGGTCTCATTGAGACATAGCATGGGGCGTGATTTTGCGCAAGGTTATTTTTTGCACAACCTGCAGAGTACGCAAATACGTTTTGGTGAGAAAACACCAAGCGGCACACGTTTTTCTAATAACCATCCAGTATAGCCGAACTTTTTTAATCGAACTTAATATAGAGGTGCACAGGGTAGAATTAGCGAAACGTAATTTTGAATTTGAATTTCACGTTTCAGAGCTTCTGCCAGGTCAAGAGTGACACCAAGATATCTGTCAAAAATTTCCCATGGTGCACGAATTCCTTTCACTGAAACCTCAGACGGCTCCCTCATTGCATGACTAAAAAGTGAAATTATATCGATTTTGACGACATTATTCTTTTTACATTATGTTCCAATAAAATGTCACCTTTGGACTAGCTGACATTCTCTTTATGCTCACTTGTAGTATTAGCGGCTACCTTGTGCACAAGTTGGCACTTACCGGCTTTTTTGACATTATATAAGTTTTTTACCTACTACCTCTGCGGAGGACCGCTACGTTTTTGAGTACAATAGAATAGCATGTGTTTTCGAATGATTTTTTTTTCTCCGAAACGATGTATTACAGAAGGTACTACGTGATACACGTCTCTACCGTTGTATTTTCCCAGCTAGTACTTTTGTGATGGAAAAGTCCGTTTACCGAGGTTTTTGCTGGCATGGCATGTTTAGCGCAAAACATGAAAGTAGCTTATTTTAGTTCTAAAAAAGATTTTTTACTGTGAGTTTCGCAAGATTCCTAATGTTCATTCACGATGTTTGATTAAGCTACTGCGATAGTTTGCTATTTACATAATTTTTAATTCATATCCCACCATTACATAAATATAATATATTCATATTTTACCTGCTTAAAAATGAAAAAAGATAAGTTTTGCCCTGGATATGTCGGAATGCTAATTTACTAGATACTGTTATGCTCGAAACCCACTTTTGTACAATTACTTACCTGTAAAACTACTGAAGATTGATTGCTACCTTCACGTTCTTATATATCAGGTTTACAATTCTTCGCTTTGCTACCTTCTAGCTCAATAAAATAATGGCTGCACTTCCTGCGCAATGCCGGATTAAGTTCAGAACAAGTTAAGACATCTTAGAGAAATTTAATAGAAAAAATAAACTGATCAAGTCAATCAAACAGGCCCATACAATTGTTCTATATACATTATTTCCCTGTCCTACCAGTAGTTACCGTCCATCAAGCAAGGTTGCCCCTTCCCAGATATCAAAATCGGTTAGAAATTTGAGGAATAATCTTGTCTTAAAACTGTTGTCTAATACGTGACTAATTATAATATTTGATCTCTTGTAGCCGCTCCGCCTGGTTTCGCCGAGGAAGCAGCCGTTGCAAGCGCCAGAGTCTTCCAATCAGAAGTGACAGCCACCTCAATGATCAAAGAGGAAGTCGGAGGGTTCAAACCCCTGGAAGTGGTCGGATACGTCGGAATCACCAAGCCCAAAAATCCCATCAAACCCAATAATTTGAATAAGAAATAGCCAGGCATCAATCCTAGGTTCTAATCCAACCCGTATACATCCCTGCTATTTGTATTTCTTACCTTGATTTACCATTTGATAATGAATGTGTTTTTTATTAAATATGTGATTTTGAACCTTTTTTATTTTATTGTCAAGCTCAAACATCCTATCAAACCTAACCAGAGGCTTTCTGCTACTGTGCCTTCGAACTCAAAGAGTCCCTACAATTTGGCTGGTCTGGTTTGTAGATCACGAGATCTGACAAACTAACTACATATACTGGCTGGCAGTCACAAGATTAGCGGCAGGAGGTTAAGCTCATAGCCAATAAATCACACACACAATCTACATGTAATGAGCATCCATAACGTGAAAGATGATTGGTAGAAAGCTTATCAAATAACATTGTTTCTAAGAAAACAAGTTTTTACTTTCTATTCCATCGAGGAAGCATTGTAATCGCGAAAAATTTCGAAACTGAGATATTATGTTTTTTGTACGTTATATTATATGAACATCACGAAAACGCATTTCCGTCGGACTGTCCGCTAGTCTTATAACCGCCTGTACCTTGAGAACTACCTCTCGGATTTTGATAAAATTTTCGCACAAAGTTACTATTTGTACTATTCCATGGATGAAAAAGCTTTGTAGCTTTTGAAAATCGGTCTATTGGTGGTGGAGCTAGGGCCAAAAACACGAAAAAAATAGAAATCGCCACTTGCAACTGTGCAATGGATAACAAACTTCAACTGGTCTGCGGTGGCGTTATGACTGACGCACCGCTGCAGGAGAAATATTTGTATATTTAAGCAATATTTGGATAACAGGAGTACGTACGTGAGTTTTTGTAAATGATGATAATAACTGTTTTTATAACTACACATATATTTTATGATCCTTAGATGTATCACCCATTTCGCCTCACCTCTAATTTGTTCTACTCAGTGATGCTTCTCTGAATATTCCTTCAAGCAGATTAACTCAGTACTTATGACGCATTGATATACAACAGACGCGGACTGACAAACCGACATACATGAGAATCACGAACTTGTGCGATGGAGATATTTTTTACCAACAGAAAACTTGTGAACCAAAGTTCGAATATAATTGTGACTTTAATACTTCCATCGTTTAGGTAGTTGCAGATTTTAAAAATTGATTCAGAGGTGACGCAAATAAAATCGCCGGAACATAAGGTTACAACATTGCAGAGATTCCTGCTCATTTTCAGACATTGTTTGGAAGGGAGGAAAATTCTAAGTTGGCAGCTGTATCTGGTAAATGGTTGTAAGTTGTTGCATATTTCGTGTCAGTGAAAGACCTATTAATAAGAAGCTGCTGGTCTCAGTAATACTATGCACCTGTTATACATGATAAAAAACACACACACACACACACACACACACACACACATATATATATATATAATTACTTGTTAATTGGGAAAATTGGCAAAACTTTTAGGCCAAAGTTGACTCTGACGATAAAATCAAGCTTTCGGCATTCTCTATGGAGCCATCATCAGGGTTGTTTCAACAAAATGTCTCCCCACGTGCAGTATTTTAGCTTGTTCGGGTTTATTGATAAAAATTTTTATTTTTCTTAACTTTTAACGAAGGTATCTGTCGTTTTTAACAAGCCCAATGTCCCCGTCCTTTTGTTTTTATACTGAAGACAAGTTCGATCTTCTCTACGTTCTTTCTGAAACACCTTGTGGCTGCAACCTCACCGACGAAATCCTGATGATGGCTCCATAAAGAATGCCGAAAGCTTGATTTTATCGTCAAAAGAGTCAACTTTAGCCTAAAAGTTTTGCCAATTTTCCCAATTTACAAGTAATTGTATTTTGTACCCAACTAATCGTTAACTTTGGCAATGACTACTTCTCATATATATATATATATACAGGCTGACTTCGAAGTTGAGTCATTTATTTTAACAGTGAGTAGATCTGATCAAAAGAAATGTTTTTTTCCTTTACCATTTTTCTGGTAAAACTAAAGTAACAAAGTTATAGCCCTTTGGAAGTTTGAGTACCGCCCTGTCTCAATAATAATATCATGTGCTCGTGTTTGGCAACAACGGATATAATCCGCCTTATCGGTTCATCGCATCGGAAACAAAAAAGCGAAAGAATTTGGAACGACGTTTTTACAATTATTTTATTCAGTTCAGTTATACATACAGTCAGTGTCAGTCGAAGGGTTTATCTCTGGTCAGTCGGTAACGCGTGTGAATAGTGTCTGTTGCGTGGCTCAAACGAAATAAAAAATGGCACATGTTTATGCGGATCGGTTTCCCAATCGAGTGCAACCAACCCCTCGTGCCTTTGTTAATGTAGTACAACGGGCTCGTGAATCAGGTGACTTAAGACCTCACAGGGGACCTCACGATCAAATACAGGTCCGCACTGAAATACTTGTCGGGAGGATACTTTATAAAACAAGGTAAAAATTTTTTTTTATTTTTTTTTATTTTTACACACATATTTTGGTTTATCTTCCTTCTACAATCATTATCTGAAAATGAATGACTCAACTTCAAAGTCACCCTGTATATATATATATATATATATATATATATATATATATATATATATATATATATATATGCATATATAGCCACTTGCTGTGGTACTTCAAGCCCAAAGGATCTACAATCTCTTTGTAACTTTACAGCTTACTTCAGTAACAAGAGAAGTAAGACGTCAGCTTGAAATTCAAAAGCCTTCTAATCCAAAATTATCCCTTAGACAACCTGGCTTTAGGATGATTTGCTTAATTATTCCGTATGTCTTTAAGACGTAACCACCAAAAACCGTGAAAACAGCTGAACTGCATTTTGCTTAATACAAATGAATGTTTTATGGCAGCTTTGCAACACCGCCTCAATAGCCAAGGACGATCCGCACCTAGGTTTATTTGTATACCAGTAATAGTCCAAGAGCCGACCGAAAATTTTTGGTTATATCGAGTACTGGAGATGAACGTATCAGTCAAAGCGTTGAGGTTAACTGCACGTGCAGAAGTAAAAACTTGATCAAGTCGTACGGCCAACGCCAAAGGACAAAAGTTCATAAATGGTTATACAGATTGCCAAACTTTGAACTTGAACGACAGCTAAACGCGATCGACCAACGACGGACGTCGAGTCCATAGCTCGGCCATAAGTCGTGTTGGGGAATAAAGGGCACCCAAGGATATCGTCCTCAAGAGGGCGACGACGTTTTATCACAAACGAATTCGAAAATGCAATACTGTTCTTCGAGCCTTATATGTCATGTATATACATCAGCGAAAACCATGTCACTCATTTCTGTCGGTCAGTCTGTCCGATAATCCTTGGTAAAATTCTCACTCAATGTTACTACTATTTCCAAGACGAAAAAGATTTCTTGTTTCTGGTAATCGGTCCAGTGGCAGTAGAACTACCAGTAAAAACGGAAAAAAAATTCCAAATAATACATTATTATATAAATCAAATTTGTCATACTTTAGGTTGTTAGAGACATTATAGAGGAATAAAACATCACTCAAACGTCGCCTATAGCTTAATTTGACCATTTTAAATTCATTCAACATACTCGTATTCTTATATTATATCATAAAAGGATATATATTATGTTTGTTAGAATACAAATATTTGAGAAATCTCTTTTGCACTCTCTCAATCATTTCGATATGGTTCATCGTTTGTGGTGACGAAATAGTTGATGCATATCCTAAATTAGGTCTCACTAGAGGGTTGTACAAAATTATTATTGTATTTATATCCTTGAAATGTCTTCTATGCCTAATTATGAATCCATGGAGTTTATAAAATTTATTCACAATGTTTTCATAATGTAGGACAAATGTCAAGTTTGTTTAGAAGTAGACGCCAAGATCCTTGCATATGCTTTCTCTACCTAGCTGTAAATTTTCAATCGTGTATGTAAAATTTATGTATTGTGTTTTTACGTGTAAAAGTTAAAACATAGCATTTGTCGATATTTAACGACATCTAATTTTCGTGAAACCAATTGGATACCAAATCTAAATCCTTCTGTAGTTCATAACAATCCCTAGATGATGTTATGGGCTTAAATATTTTAAAGTCATCAGCATAGAGGAGGCATTCTGAATTGTTTATGCAGCTTGGTAAGTCGTTAATGAAAATACAGAATAGCAAAGGACCAAGGTTACTACCTTGAGGCACCCCAGATGAGGCTATGGATTGGTTTGATACTGATCTGCCAACCTTTACCTGTTGTGGTCTCATGGTAAGATACAATGCCATAAATTTACATGCAGTTGAAGAAAAACCAGATCTACCCAGTTTAGTTACCAACAGGCCATGGTCAACCCTATCGAAAGCTTTGGAACACATCTGTAAACACAACATCCAACTGTTGTTTATTATTTGTAGCCTCAGCTGCTGCCTCTGTAAAGATGATCAAATTGGTAGCAGTTGAGACACCTGGCAAGAAACCATGTTGTTGAAGAGCAAAGTCGTTTATACACGAGTTCAGGATATCTTGACACAATATGTTTTCAAAAATCTTTGCAGGAGCATTAAGAACAGTCATAGGCCTGTAACCGTTAACTAAACTGGCATCTCCTGACTTGAATATTGGAGTGACAGATGCATTTTTAAATTTCTCTGGGAATGTGTCTGTTCTTAAGGACAGATTGAAAATTGTCGTTTATGGGGCACTCAATATATCTGAACACCCTTTGTAAATATATGAACGGACGTTATCATTACCAGTTGGTTCTTTTGGTTTTAACCTTCTGATATTTGCTTTAACTAGCGCCTCGGTAACCTGGGAGAATGTGTAGTCACTATTACACATATCAAAATTTGGTTTCTCAGACTGTTGAAATACTGATCCAAAATACAATGGAAATGTATCGGATATCTCCTGGGAACCACAAATCGCACAACCCTCATACATAACCTCTGAAGGAATACGAGGGATGTCTTTTAAGTTTTGCATATAGGAACATAGTACCTAGGTCTCGCGGATCGAACGTCAGTACTGAATCTTAACCTCACTCTTTAGTAAGCTTAAATTCAAAGTTTCACAATAATACGTGCAGTGTTCTCACTACAGTAAATTTTTAAGTGTCACTAAGTCATTAGAAAA